CGTATTGTAGGCTTCGTCAACAACAAGTTTGCTTAGTGCAAAACCAAGAATATTGCTGTATCCACTATGTTGCTTTCATCCTTTTCAACACCTATTTCAGATCGATAACAGTTTCCAAGGCTGAGCGTTTCGCCCTTAAGATTCAAACCTACATATTTTTCATTATCAGTTTCGCTTCCGTTTCTTTCCCTAGTAGCACTTTCAGGTATATATGTTGATTCTTGGTAATAATCGAAGGTTTTCTTTTTATTCTTGGCGTCCACTTTCTCTACATTCACAAGCTGAAGAACCCTCATACTATTGACCTCTTTATTCAGGTACATATCGTTCCTTTTCCTTTATTTATTTCTCTTGTTAACCTTTTCTTTTTCATTCTTAGGTATCTTCACACCATGTTCTCAACATTCAAGCTTCTCTTTTTCACTACCATCCATATAACATATATCGATCCACCTGTTATTCAAACATTGATCACGATTTCGATTTTCAAGGAACGGACATGAAAGAGCCAAGTGTCCTTTGCACCTACACATGTAGCACAGCCGAAGTCTGTATTGTTTCTTTTTTATCCTTCGTTTCTTCAAAGTCTTTACTACTGCAACTACTCATCCAATCATGCTTTCAACTAGTGTCACCAAACGATTTTTGCCTTCCATCTTCTCCATTCAGGTACGTATCGCTGCTTATTTTTTATTTTTTATTTTTTTTTTGTCCTTATTCATCTTACACTTTACTAACAAGTTCTTTTCTCATTTCGTATTACTTGAAAATATATGTCTACTTCACTGATCACACCGTTCTTTAAACTTAATTGCCACCGAGGCACTGATCATGATAAAGTTCAGTAACTACAACCTTCTTGGGCTTCCATGAAGTCCAAATACAACAATTTTGGGCAAGTAGACTGACCTAGTGCCCAGGTCCTTCTGTCACGTCAATTTGCAGTTATACGGGGTCTTCGTTACTTCTGCTTTTCAATTCTACTCGCTTGGCTTTCTACGAAGTCCAGAGTATCATTTCAGGTACTACCACCTTTTATTCGACACCTCAACTACTATAAGAGCAACCACACAGTATATAATAAGAACATTACTAAAGCCAAACTTAAAATGCTGTCTTTATTATTATTAGATCGCTCATATTTAAATACAAGATTATCACCGAATATATTATTATCCGGGTTATACGCATTAGACTATCACTAGATTAGACTTTAAATTAATTTCATGCAAATCCGTATCATGCCACTTATGCAAATCCTGATTCAAATCGAACCTGGCACCATAAAATCACTGGGTACCGAATTACACCATGATACTTATCAAAGCTCAGAAACTACCCAACAATCCAAAGCTTCATATTCGCATAACTAAACCGATGACAAGTAATTTTTAATGGTGGATAACGACTCTTCAGAACTGGTCTGATATTCATCTTCTACAAGACCAAGAATGGGGCCAACCAAGCACACTCAACTTATTCACAGACGCATCCAACGTAGGCAGGGGCGCAGTATATCGCAACTATTTTACAGCTTTTTCGTGGTCAAACAACATCGACCTAAACAAAACTAACATTTAAATACGAGAATTGCTAACCACGATCATAGCTATAAAAACCTTCTCCCCTATGTGGGAAAGACAAAAGTTAGTTATATGGACAGACAATCTGTCCAATGCCGATGCCTACTATGCAGGATACTGTAAAAACCCAGAAATCAACGATCTGATTGCAATCAGTTACAGCTTACAAGTTCAGGGAAACTTTGGCATTAAACTAGAACACATTTCTGGAGTACACAACCATGATGCTGACCTGCTATCCAGAAACGGACACCGGGAATATATCAGAAGCAATTCGCAAGCCCGCTATCTCCAACCAAATATCCCAGAAACTTATACTAACTTAATCTCACTCATTCCATCCCTGAAACAATAGCTGATAACAAGAAGCCACCTACTATGCCAAACCTAAACTTAAACAATAACAATAATATCATGCCCTTCGGAACTATACCTACTCTCGACGATCAAGCAGCCCAAATACTTAACATACAGAACCCAGTCAAGAAAACATACGAAGCAATAATCAAACTATACGAGAACCTCACTACTACCAACCAATGAACCAACCATGATGGCCCCATATGGCCTATATCTACCTAATCCCTAATAAAATATATTTCTTTCCTTCACCAAAGTGTCACCCCGCCAACCATCACCACATACCTCTCTACATTGAAACATCACACACAAGAAACCACCATGAATGGACCCAAGTCTGACAAAACCCATTAGTAATACAACTATTGAAAACCATCGAAAGCACACACCTCCACAAACCTGTAAGACAAAAAACTCACATAACACTACAACACCTAACACAAATCAAACAGCAAATCAACATGAACAACAAAACCGATCTCTTGTTTTGGGCAGTAGCCATGACAGCATTTTATGGCTTAGCCTGACTAGGAGAACTATTACCAAATAACCAATCTGACTTCAGCAAAGTTCCTATGATCCAGGCACTAACTTTTGAGAAAACTAACAACTGTACTTTCACAACTATCCAGCTGGCCAGAACCAAAACCCACAAATCTGCTGTTCAATCATCACTGATAATACATCCAACTAGTGATAATCTATGCTCTGTGTGCGCCTTAAAAACATATGCCCATATCCAGACTCAACCAACATATGCTAACAATAGTAATATACTCTTTATAAAAGAAAACAACACCTGGGCTACTAAACGCTGATTATAGCAAAATTAAAACAACTACTTCCAAATAAAAACGTCGCTGGTCATAGCTTTCACGCAGGCAGAACTACAGAACTAGTGATGCGTGGGGTTCAATTAGTTCTAATTCAAAAATGTGCAGATGGAACTCTGAGTTCTTCTATCGATACATCCGCAGTCACCTGGCAACAATTGCTTCCATTCTTACAAAGGCATATACTGATTGATTTGCTAAACACACTTGGAACAAACAAACAGACCAATCAGTGTTAACAAAAAAAAAATATATATATATATATATGATATATATATTTATATATATATACAAGCAAAGTGGGGCGCTACCGCACCCCTATTGCATTACTTGCGTCAACAAATTATTTAATAGATGTCAAATAGATTACATCTCATTTTCTTGAAAACTATTCCCTACCACATCACGCTGGGTAACAATTTACTAATATTATGTACCCAAAACTAATAAAAGCTAGATTGTCACTCTTAGTATGGGCTATAAACATGGCCAAGTGATATTTATATTCAATATCTATAATAAATAGCAGATTTCTTTGTGAGAGAGGGTTGGGTCGTGATGGGTAATGTGGAATCAAAATTGTGCTTTTCTCAGAATCAGCCTTTTCTCACAGTATCTATTATTAATAAAGAATTACTATATATGAAAGGATATTTAGAACTATACTCATCCTGTAATCTTGATTATGCGGAATTAGTCCTGTTTCCATTGTTATTGTCACAGGATAAATTACCTTGCTTAACGCTTTTTTGATTTGTTGACTTTTGTTAAATGAAATTATAGCAAATCGATATAGTATCAGTAAGTAGATCTGTATAGTATAGACACAAAAATTCTAATGAAAACCTAGCCAACTCTGAAGTCAATTAAATTATAAGAGGCTACTTAGCTTTAAATATACCCTATATTTGGGATTTACTACTTGATAATTCTGACTGTCGGGTTTGTTGGGATTTTGGCTGTTGGGATTATGACTTATCTGAATTGTGTTTGTCGAGATTTTGACCAGCACCCATTCGATATATAATACACAGTTAAGATTGAGTTTGCATTGAAATTATTGTGATTTATTTATATCATGAATCACTGTAAAAAATTTTTCATACAAAGTGGGTGAATTAGTTTATGTTAGAATTATTATGGTTTATATCTGTAAAAAATTTTGTAGCTAACTTACTATTCTGGAATATACATTTTGTGACTCACTAACGCATGTTATTAACGTTATCAATTTAATATCTACAAAGTTCATATAATGAACAAAAGTTAGTTTAAAAAATTATAAATAGGATGTATATAGTATTCACATTTCAATTTTATGCTTTGATTATTAATTCACAGATCGATTACGGAGTTATGATGATCCTGTGCACATCGGTTTTCTGTGCCAGGTTTTGTCAATCATTGTGGCACAGATCTCTTGATCCACAAATCAGATTTCAAGGATCAGGTATAACATAACACGATCAGGAAATTTCAAAACAACTGTTCGTTTTGTTAAAAATTGCTTATTTCTCAAAAAACTGCATAAAAAACCACCTTCGGCGCTTTAACAAAAAATATTCTTTGAACGATTTTACATATAAGTAACTAACTTCTAACCTTCTTCTAAATGCTAACCCTAACATTAATAAACTTTAAAAGATTT